TATTCACTAAAACATTGCCAAGAAGCAGCGTACATAAGAGATAATTACCGTGTCTTCGAATCGGTTCGATGATTTTGGCGTAACCTTGCTCGCTTGTATTGCCACAGTTCATAACAATTTTAAGCTCGGTTGGATCTAGCGCCATTAAGCCGAGGTTGAGCCCTGAAAACAAGCCTGATAAGCACATTAGAATCACGATGAATACTATTTGCAACCATGTGGGTAATGTTGTACTGGTGGTAGTATAAATCTGAAGCAGCTTGTCTGTATCGCCTTGGTGTCTCCATATTTGGCCTCCATTCGCCTGTAGACAGACGTAATAAGGTCCTCCAGCTGGCACGATTACTTCACCTTCTGCTTTGTAGTCCTGAAAGTCATTTTGCTTGAAAGATACAGGAGATGTGCGATCACCATCGCAAACAGAGTTAACTTTTCCCGGGGTGGAAGTAAACGCAATGCGTGAATCCCGCGAAATGTTAACACCATAGAACCTCAACAACGTCGAAGTTTCGGCTTTTATTTCAACAGCGCCATTCTTGATCGCACCTGAACTATCGACGGGACTTATACCGGTCAGGCGCCCCTCACATTCTACGAAGGTAACGAACTTGTAAGCCGCTAAAAGACAAAACGTAAACACGTATACATAACACCTCCTGGCAAAGATGGCGGCCATTCGAAACTGAAGGTCTCGTGATGAAACAACCGTGAGAAATGTCATGCTTACCATATATGGAATCAAGCATTGTTAGTTTGTTTAAAATGCCAAATTTTTTACCTTCTGCCAGCAGCTGGTCCGTTAGCTCAGTCGGCAGAGCGCGGTGCTGATACACCTGGATCTAGGATCCAACGGCTACGCCGAGGTCGAGAGTTCGAGCCTCTCACGGACCAGAAATTTTTGTTTTCTTTGTTTCAATGTGGTTAGATTTATTTTTTCCATTTATTGTGGAAAAGACATTGCATTCAAATATTATGGTAGAAATTGTGTTTTTCTCTCCGGAGAGAAATCGAGATGTTTTTATTAAATTGTAATGTAGATTTAATTTTAGTGTAATGATCTGTTTTCCAAGATTAGTGTATTTTTACTTATTAATATTTTTTTCTGTTTTTAAGCCGCTACTACATGAGATCTGTAGGGACAGACCGTGAGAGGGACGCTGTAAAATTTACGGCCGGGTTTTATTCTATGGCGAGTGTGATCACTGAAATGCCTACATTCTCCCCTTTCTCTATTAGCCAGGAAGGGTTAAAAATACAAGTGAATTCTACACAAAATTGTGATTCCGCAAAAATATCACAAACTAAATTTCTCAAACTACTTTTCAGAGAACATTGCGATTGGCCAGGACTGGGAGGGCGTCGCATTCCAGAGAAGTCGACGAGGGCTAGTCACGTGACGAAAATAATCGACAGTTTCCGTTTGTCGCTTGGAGAGAAATATTTTCAGCACAGTGCCAAGTTTCTGGTGAAAGTTGTCGTGTGCTGTTCTTGTTAGAGGACTGAATTTTGGCACGATGAGTCGAGGAACAACGACATTAAGCGGCGAAATTAAGGTGGAAAAGCACCAGATGAAATGGGATCCCAAAACCTTAGAAATCCGTACGCATTCGGTGGAGAAAACGCTCGAACCTCTTGTTCATCAAGTAAGCTTAAAATTCTCAATGTTGTTTATGTCAGATAATTCCTAACAACCCAGCACTGATTCGGCATGATTTTACGATATGACTCAGGCAAGAGGTTGTTTGTTAAATTGTGGTTGTTTGTGGAGAAAAACTGCTGGATCTTAAAGTTCGATCAGCCGCTATCGCTACTCATACACTCTGCATATATATCGCGGCATGAGATTTTTTAACTAAACGAGGTATAAATTATTCGTGAAAACAACAGTTACAGCTAAATTTTCTTTTGCAATGCGCCGTGAAGTCCGTCCAAGTAAGCATTTTCCATCGAAAACACTATCTTGTGCGCAGATTTTTTTCAAGTGACAATTGGAGAGCGTTGGCCTTGAAAATTCGTCCCTTAAGCTTGTGATGGTTGACTTTAACACATTTTACGATTACGGAGTTTTATTAATAAATTGACATTGTCTCCAATTTAATGACAGTCAAAGGAAATTTTTGCTTTACTGTTTTGCCTTTTCATGATCGCCAGATTTTGTTTATGCCGAAAATGTAAGCTGTAAACGGTTGATAAGCTGTTTATAAGAAAGTTATAACAACCGGTGTCTCATTGCACACAAATTTATAAAGCATTTGCGCCATTTTCTGGAGGGCGCGACCCCTCGAGAGCTTTCGAATTAGCTCAATAAAGAGCAATTTAAGAGGATCTTTTTAAATTGGCAAGAACAGAACTTTATGAGAATGTTACTCTTGCTTTCTGTGGCAATTATTTTTGCCCAACCTCAAGGCTTACTGTAGTTTGCGAAACGAAATGAAACGAAACGAAATGAAACGAAACGAAATGGAACGAAACGAAATGAAAATCTGTAGTTTGCGAAATGAAAATCTGTAGTTTGCGAAATGAGAATCTGTAGTTTTGAGATTGGAATCAGAGGCATTATGATCGTTTTACACTGTCGAAAACCCAGATTTCTTAGTTTGCCGGTTTCCCCGCCGATATATAGATCAAAGTCTGCAAAGTTCCAGCTCTGTATTACGGCCCGAAGAATGGTAATTTTCGGGCGAACTGCACGGGGCCATATTTGTTCTTTTTTTTTCCTTTTCTAAATCCGGAGAAAGAAATAATGCTAAATCTGCTTTTTAATACACTGTTAACAATAATACCACATAATACGCAAAAAAGAAGAAGAAGAAAAGAAAGAACAACGTATGGACCTTTAAGACGATATTCACGGTGGGTCACCCATCCAGTTTGTAACCCCGACTGACAGGGCTTAACTTGGGCGCCTGAGCTTAAGTTAAACTTTTTTGGGCGAAACAGCTTTTTTGGGGAAATTTTCTGTTTAGAATATCCGAGTAGATGCAACGAGAAAGTAAATTGTCATAACGTAAAATACAGACTGTCATTTCGCAAACTACAGATTCTTATTTCGCAAACTACATATTAATGAGAATCTGTAGTTTGCGAAATGAAAATCTGTAGTTTGCGAAATGAAAATCTGTAGTTGTAGGAAAAATGGGGGACTACTCGTAGTCTATTCTCGTTGCGTCTACTCGGATATTCTAAACAGAAAATTCCCCCAAAAGAGCTATTTCGCCCAGAAAAATTTAACTTAAGCTCAGGCGCCCAAGTTAAGCCCTGTCGGTCGGGGTTACGAACTGGATGGGTGACCCACCGCGAATATCGTCTTAAAGGTCCATACGTTGTTCTTTCTTTTCTTCTTCTTCTTTTTTGCGTATTAGGGTGGTATTATTGTTAACAGTGTATTGAAAAGCAGATTTAGCATTATTTCTTTGTCCGGATTTAGAAAAGGAAAAAAAAACAAAGAACAAATATGGCCCGATGCAGTTCGCCCGAAAATTACTATTCTTCGGGCCGTAACACAGAGCTGGAACTTTGCAGACTTTGATCTATATATCGGCGGGGAAACCGGCAAACAAAGAAATCTGGGTTTTCGACAGTGTAAAACGATCATAATGCCTCCCATTCCAATCTCCTATTCCTCTGTCCCTTGTTGTCGGCGTTGCCTTCGCTGTGCTAAGCGATGTTCCTTCTGTATTCTCCTTCGTTGTTCACACTGAATTTGAAGTCGGCATTCTCCAGAGGATTTTCATTTCGCAAACTACAGATTTTCATTTCGCAAACTACAGATTCTCATTTCGCAAACTACAGATTTTCATTTCGTTTCGTTCCATTTCGTTTCGTTTCATTTCGTTTCGCTCCATTTCGTTTCGCAAACTACAGTAAGCCCAACCTCAATGATTTTGCAGTCATAAAAGGCTTATTCAAGTGTGACTTTACCTTTCGTTCCCATAATTATAAAAACATAAGATTCCGTATGGGGTACGTAGCATTGTCTGATGAGATTTATGAAAATTCCTTTTTCAAGCCTTTATTGTGACTGTTTGTAACTGTTTTAAACGGTGGGAAAATTTATACTTTAGCAGAGCCTGGTACTAGAAAATCTCAGATTTTTCATACAAATCATATGCTGGGCACCCTAGATCTTACAGTTTCAGAGCACTGTGCTCCCTTCAATTTCCCTTAGAGTACAGCCTTGTGTATTAGTTAAGTCTTGCATCCTTCAGGCATTGCAATGTTGAAGGGTGTCTGTTGCCAATTTTTGAGGCAACTTGCCCGAATACTTCAGTTGGGGATTTGGGGGGATACGATGCGGCCAACAATGCATAGAGGTACTCACTTTTAGCCTTGCACCCTGCATACATGTACCTTTAATTAAAAAGTATTGTACCATGCCAAGTATGATGTGAAGAATTATGCAGATTTAGGAAAGTGATATTTGCTGAGGCCAAAGGCAGAGGCAGATAACAGCATCCAAGAAGTGCATAATTCTTCATACCATACAAAAGCAGAATTCAATATTGTTTTTTTGTTCATTCAAAATATTTCAACATGCTTTAACCTCTACACTGTATGTGAAGTTCCCATCTTAAAAAAATTTGCTTGATGGTGATAAAGGGATGTTTATTCTTCAGATATTATTTACATAGCAATCATTATCTGTCCAATGATATAGTTGTGTGTTCTTGCTATGTTTTTGAGGTGCAAGTGGCTTGGCTATTTTTTCTTTGCATTTCTACACAGTGATTTGTTATCTCCCCGCGTCCTGTGTACCTGACATATAATAATCCTCAAAGACACCCAAAAAGTCGTGGCAAGAATCCCGCAGGAGGCAAAGAACGATTGATTGATCAATCTGAAGATGTTTTTGTAGAATGTCATGTTCATGTGATTTCTGTGGCTGTCCTTGTGGCTGTTTTTTAAAGACGCATATTTCTTTTAGTCTTTGTTGTGCTTTACAAAAAAATCTATTTTATCTGTCTGGTCACATAAAGGCCCAAGCATGATTTTTCAATTTAGGATTTTTTTTTTTTTTTTAAGTGGGACTCATTATTAATTTGTTCATATGCAAAATGAGTCCCAGGACTACTCACCATAACTATTTGTAAGAAAATCACTCATTACATGCAAAATCTTGTGCCATTTTCTCTATTTCTGCTTTGCCTAAACGGCTGAGCCAAGGCTTCAGGCGTCTCTCTTCCTGGACTGTATTGATGTCGGCAAACTTCTTCCAAATTTATGGTCAATGCTAACTGGTTATAAAGAATTTTGAGCCAATCAGAAACAGAGAAACTTTTTGAAAAAATACTATAATAACATGTTTTAATGCCTTTTTATATGAGATTGTAGGAAAATGAAAATTTATTTTAAAGTATTACTAACAAATCAAAATCCAATTTAAAAACAAAATTTTTTGTCAACCAATATCACACACACAAGTGGATGTTACATAGAGTGCTTGCTTTGCGGCCATGTTTATACACTGTTATGAACTGGTTCTGACTTCATTCTTGCATTGCCCATTAAACATTTTAGTGGTAATTAAAGATTATTGAGTAGGTAAATACTTTGTTCTTTTACTCCTGCATATAGTATAATCAATCTTTTTGACATCTGATTATATTTTCGCTGTATTTCAGGTAACAACTTTAGTAAATCATCCCAAGAAAAAAGGTAGTAAGCTTGGAAAATCCAAAAATGCACACAAACTTGCACAGGATATTGAAGATGCAAATGTGCGACTTATCAAAACAGGGGAAGACATCGCTCAAGAGTTTGCTGAAATCAGGGAAGAAATGCTAGCTGCATGCAAGGACTGCAGAGGGGCAGGTAAAGGGTTTATTGTTGTTTTGTCTACATCCTTCCAACACCTCTCAAAATAATGTTAACACTAGATCACTTCTCAACGTTTTCATGATCTAACACCCCTCACTAAAACCTTATGGAAAAAGGATTAGATGCTTGGAAGATTAGAAGAACTGGGCTTGGGCAAAATTATTACAACAGAGACAAAAGACAGAGCATTGATCATAGGTTTTTTCTCATGATATATGTAAAATTCTCATCAAATTATGTAAAGAAGCTAGTGATTTATTTTTGTCTTTCTTATAGGTGACTCAATGCGTGTAGCTGCTAAAGAGTTTGCCGATGATCCTTGTACTTCAACCAAGAGAGCCACCATGGTGAGGGCAGCTCGAGCCTTGTTGTCCTCTGTGACAAGGCTGCTATGTGTTGCAGATATGGCTGATGTATACCGGCTCCTGGCATCACTTAAACTGGTCAGTTTGTCTTTTTTCATTGTATATTCATCACTGTCAAACTACTTGACACTTGTGTACACGATTCAGGTCAAATGTTTTAAACCTAGGTTTATTCTCCATTTACTTTGTCTTCTAGCTCTGATTATTCATGAATTAGGGCTAGGAAACAAAGGAAATTGGGAATCAGTGTAGGTTAAAAAATTTTGATCTGAAATATAATTTTGACCTGTAACATATACATACATGTGGATTACGAAGAAAATACAGTATCATATACTTCAGTGCACAATGTACTTCTGTAATTTTGCAGGTAGAGAAAAGACTGAAGGAACTTGAGAAAGCTAGTAACACTGCAGATCTGCTGAATTCTTTTAAAAATCTTGGAAATGACCTGATGGACTTAGCCAAGCTGTCTGGAAAAAGACAAGCAGTGAGTCCAATCATGCAATAAAATGATTAATAACTATAATAATAATCTACAGTTTTTTGACTAATATGTTTTTAACAAAGCTTGCAGTATTTATGTCTTTTATTTGTGCCCTAATGCTCCAAATTTTAGAAAAGAATTTGCATTCTCTAACAAGCAAAAAATCTGTATGAACCCTTTACAATGTACAGTGTGCTTGTATTGTTTCAAAGAATTAAATCTGGCTCGTATGACTTCAACCTAGCCTTGCCTTTACATTTTTTAGTACAGTTTTTTGTAACCTTCCAGAAAATTCCACTATGGTGTAGCCAAGACTCCTGGAATTGATATCAACTGACATTGTAACTAAAATTTCAGGATTTGAAAGACCCACAGAGAAAGGATGATATGGCAGCTGCAAGAGCTACACTAAAGGAATCAAGTAAAATGCTGCTGTCCTCATCTAAGGTCAGTTCATTTAGATTCAAACTCTTTACCCTTGGCAATAGTTTAGTCAGAGCAGCGGTTGTGTTTGGGCAACAAATTATAAGAGAATCTTAGGATTTGCACAAAAACTTAATGCTCATGGGTACAGGAATCTCATACGGTTGCCTACATTAAACTTATCAAAATGAATCCAAATGATCAGCAAGCTAGCTGTGTTTTTGATCCACAAAGATTAGCTGATAACACTTCACCAGTGATTTTGTCACCCCTGCATCCTGCATCCCTGGCGGATAAAAGTTCTCAAGGACGCAGAATAATTGAAGGCTTGCTCCGATCAATCTAAATAGTTGTTTTTGAAGAATGCCTTGTTTGCATGATTTCATTTGGTGGGAGGAGGGGGGGAGGATGTGGGCGCTGCTGAATTTGACTGATGGATAGTATTATTACAGAGATAAGTGCATTGCTATGGAAAGTAGACTGCAGATTAAACGTGATTGTCTGGTTTCATGAGAGTTCTGGCATCTTTTAATATAGGAAGGATTCATTGGGTTTTGAACTGGGACTCATGATTTTTCATGAGATCTCACCATAGCAAATTGTAACAAAATCACTCCTGCACAAGTAAAGCGATGAAACTTGAAACCCTGTCAACCCCTGAGGGCTACCCTGCAGGTCATGTACTGTAGATGGGGAAGACTGCTGGCTGCACTGGCTCGAGCTTAACTTTGCCTAAATGATATTTAGCCCATCAAAATACTTTTTGGGAGACTATCCCTTAAGGGAAAAAATGGTAACTTCTCTTACATCACACTTCTTGTCTGTTTGTTTTCAGGCATATGTACGTCACCCTGAAGTTGCTTCAGCAAAGGCCAACAGGGACTTTGTGATGAAGCAGATGTCAGAAGCTGTGAATGCCATCTCAGGTGCTACCCAGGCCACTGGTACAAGTGGACCACACCCATTGGAGGCTCCAGGAGCACTGGCCACAGCTTTAGATGATTTTGATGTAAGTAAGAGTAATAGAAGAGCTGCCCAGGAAAACACAGTTTGTTTGCTGTTATCCCATTAAAGGATACGCATGAGTTGACTAACTCTTCTAATGGTTTTCATTGATTTGTGGGATAGCTAACGATCTGGACCATTCAACGGAATATCATTAGTGTACGTTTTTCCAAAGAAGTCACAAATGTGTAAATTAGGTCAGACACAAATTATGTGGTGTTAATTAAGGTTATTGGAGCTCAAACATGGAGGTTGTTGTTCCAATGTCAAGTTCCTTCTGTTGCAGCTTTTCCCTAGACTAAAGGTTATTTCTCTCAATGCGATGGAGGAAAAAAAAGCACATTGTCAAAGACGTAATTTAACCTCAGTTAGTAATGTCTGTGAAGCAGTGCCGATATCCTTGTTCTTGGTCACCGGCGGACTCAACGAATTACTGGAAATGTTCTTCCAATTTCCTTTCATCTTGATTGGCAAATCCACAATGGCTTTTTTAATGGGCTAGTCATGGCACTTACTCAAATCCTGGTTACCAGGATTTGAGTAAGTGCCATGACTAGCCCATTAAAAAAGCCATTGTGGATTTGCCAATCAAGATGAAAGGAAATTGGAAGAACATTTCCAGTAATTCGTTGAGTCCGCCGGTGACCAAGAACAAGGATTTTGGCACTGTCTTGCAAATAGACTTAACCAGAGTTTAGTTTCATCATCTATGACACAAGCTATATATATAGTTACTTTTAGCAAAAAACTTCACCTATCCTTAGCCATGTGGGCTTCAAGTTGCCAACAGCATTGTGCTATCTGTGCCAACGTACTTTGTAAGACACCAGTGTAGAATGTTATTCACAGTACATGTAAAATTTGTAGAAAGGGATAAAACTCTCTTGACTTAACTGGCACGTTTACCTTTTCAGTCTCAAATTTCAATGGATCCCAGTGCTTATTCAGAGAAACGCACCCGTCCAACCTTGGAACAGCGTCTTGAGAGCATTATCAGTGGAGCAGCACAGTTAGCAGATTCCATTTCAACTAGAGATGACACACGTGACAAGATTATTGCTAGCTGTAATGGGGTGCGACAAGCCCTCCAAGATCTACTCTCAGAGTACATGAATCATGTGAGTAAAAATATCATTGTATGGCCCCAAGGACATAAACCCAGTCTGCATTAATGGCAAGGAAGTTACAAATTGAACATGTAACACATGTTCTATCTCTCTTTTTGTGAGAGTTTACTGTAAGTTCATCAACTGTACTTTAGGAAGAGAGGAACAGCATGAACAGATGGTGGGTGATTCTTGCTTTTTTCCTTCTCTCCTGCAGGCCACAGGGAAGAAGAAAGTCACTCCTGGCGGCTCTTTAGATCAAGCACTAGAGAGGATGTGTAACAGGACACGAGAACTCAGAGGACAGGTAAAAGAGAAATTTGAAATTCAGTGATAAAATATTCTTTTAGTTGTGGTTAGAATCTTGATAACTATGGTTTAACAACGTTGAGATGTCCTTTCCCCCAGTTGCGTCGTGCAGTTGTGGACCACGTTTCCGATTCATTCTTGGAAACCACCGTGCCATTGTTGATGTTAATTGAAGCAGCTCAAGCAGGGAATGAGAGAGAAGTAGAGGAATGTGCTAAGTTGTTCATTGATCATGCTACTAAACTTGAAGAGGTAAGTTTGTGGTTTGTAGTTGTCAGAAGGTTAAAAACCCAGTTCTGGATTTTTTTTTTTTTTTTTTTTTTTTTTACACTACAAAAATGAAGATGATGCATTTACAAATAGGGTAATGATTTCAAATGATTCAGCACCCTTTAAGTGTGGCAATTTTGAACCAGCTTAACCCCAGTTAAGTGCCCCCTCAAATAAGAGCCCCATTTGGGCCAAAAAAGTTAGTAGGCCCTGCCCTGAATAAGCCTTCAGCCCCAATATAATCAATGTCAAAAGATGTTAATTCTGTTAGTTTAATATGGAAAATATTAATACTGTAGTTAAAACAATTCTGTGTTTCGTCCAACTTTCAAAAAAACCACACCCCTCAAATACAACTATAAATTACTGCCCTTGGATAAGCACCTTATTTAATGTGTGAAAAATTTAATAAGTGCCACAGCGCTTATTCAAGTAAATACAGATGTACTGGTGCAAATAACGAGACAAGTCCTCTTTTTATTTCATGCCCTGTCATCTTCTCAAGTATCATCATTAACTTACACCAATTGATTTGTTAAATTCACCAGGTAGCCAATCTTGCCTGTTCAATGTCTGTAAACCCCGAGAAGGTGAAGATGGTGAGATTAGCAGCCAAACGCCTGCAAACACTGTGCCCTCAAGTGATCAATGCTGCTCGCACTCTTGCAGCACGTCCCCACAGCAAAGTGGCACGTGAAAACATGGATGTGTTTAAGGAAGCATGGGAAAAACAGCTACAAGTCCTGACAGAGGCTGTTGATGACATCACCAGCATTGATGAATTCCTGGCCACAACAGGTGGGGTAAAAAATGTGGAGTAAGTGTTTTTCATTTTTGTTGTTGGGTAAGGAGACCCAATTACCCTTTTGAATTTTGTTTATTTTCTGAATTTTAGAAAGCATTCACAATGACTGTTTCCCAGTCTCACTTAATAGACTTAAGCTAGTTTGAATTGCTGCTACATGTGAATGATAACTACACAGATTGAAAAAGACCTAACATTCCTTTGTGGAGAAACACTTTGCTACATGTATTACTTTACAGAGTAAAAACCCAGAATATTTTGTTCCTCTTGCAATGGTTTGTTTATTGACAAACTCAAGGAAACTACACGCGGTTTTAATCACATTTCCATGAACAAAAGGTCAAATGTCAATCACTTTTTCAAATCTGAAAACTCAGAAATTCCATTTAGTGTGCTGATGACAAGCTCAAAGAATATTTTCCGAAATAAACTTAAAATTTTGAAAACTTCAATGCCCATTTTCTTTCATCTAATGCTATGCAAAATTAGTTGGTTTTGCGCAGGATGGGTCATCGATAAAATTTATGCCAAATAATAATTAGTGCTACTTCACTAATTTTCGTGCTGTGCATTTCTCATAGTGCTTGATGAGAATCATGCAGTTTGCCATGATTCTCGTCAAGCAGGAAATGAGATGCAATTGGTAACTTACTTTTGAGCGGTATTGTATTTTCCATCAGAGGCACATATTTTGGAAGATGTGAACAAATGTGTCCAAGCGCTTCAAGACAGAGACCCAGAGACAGTTGATAGGACCGCTGGACAGATTAGGGGACGTACAGCCAGACTTGAAGATGTTGTGAGTGCTGAAATGGAGAACTACCAACAAGGGCCCTACACTGATAATGTCATGAGAGCAGTCTTGGTTATGCGCAATGAGAGTAAGTTGATAGTTCGTCAAGACTTAAAACATCAGAATGACTCATCATCTGGTCACTTTATCTCCTACAGGTGGTTGACTCCTGACCATACTATCTGACAATAGTTGTCCTCTCTCTCCTGTCTAATAGACCCCTCTGTGAGAGGTTAATTTTGAATTGGACACCCTTCTCTAATAAACACCCCATCTGATAGATGCCCCCCATCACTTTTACGCAAAAATATTAGGAATTAGCAAAAAGGAGCAAAATCGTTAGGGTTATATGTGCATTGGATTTTGCTCAGTGTCATCTTCAAAGTAAGGATAGATTAACAAAGACAACAAAATGACCTTGAGCCTTGAGCGAGGATTCTGACCTTGAAGTTAAGATATGATCATCTCTACTGATCAGCCTCTTCACATTTCGCTGAAAGAAAGATTATTACAAAAATAAAGACAATCGCCTCTCTGTTTTAAAGGCCCACTATCTATTAATTAAATGCCATCTCCATCATGGACCCCTAAAATTAAATAGATGCCTAAGAAATCTATTAGATTATTTAAGGTAGTCCAATTCTCCCTTTAATTTACGGTACAAGCACATGCAAGGAAAATTAGAAATTAATTGGCAGTTAATCAGAAGTCTCTTAGGACTTCATTCTAGGCACCCCTTCGGTGATTGAGGATTTTTTAAACTTTTCACTCGATCTCAAAATGTTGGAAGCACTTTTGAGCAGTGTTGAATTCTCATGTTTTTCTTGGATTTTTAAAATTTTTTTAGCAGAGTCTCAAATTTTGAAGTCATGTCTATGAACCTTCCCTTATCTTGTGACTGATTTTTTTATAATTATGTTTCTTCTTTTCAGTTATCCCTCACTTTGCACAGAATGTGGAGAGGTCAGTGACCTCGCTCGCCAAAGATCCTCATGGAGAAGTTGATGAAGCACAGTTTATTGATGCTTCGAAACTGGTGGGTAAAAATTTCTTAATCTCTTGACTCATGTTTTTGACTCATGTGTAAATATAACCAAACTCCTTCGTCCCATGCATTAGCACCCATGCATTTGAAGTACATGTACGCTAAACATTGTATATACATGTCCTTTTAGGTGTATGAAGGCATCAGAGATATAAGGAAAGCTGTTTTAGCTGGGAAAGTAAGTGTACTTTTTTGTCATATAATTTGCAACGTGCTGTACAAATTGTTTTTCCTGCAGTTATGTGGTTATAAGGTTCAATCTAAGTACGTAGATACAATGTTAGTTCGTCGGGTTTCTAAGCATAAAATATGTTCCAATAAGAATTGGAGATTTTGTAAATTCATTTTCTCAAAATATTCTGATTTTCCACAATAAAAGAAAACTTTAAGATGTCTATTATGGCAAACATCTTGTAATGACTAGTAAAGATAGTGGCAGTGATAAAAAGAATCAGTATTTAAAAGACGTCGGAAGAGGCACTTGCTTTCACTTATTTGTCATCAAAGAAGACTTCTCTAACTGAAATAAATAGATTGTATGGAAAATTGACAATTGGAAAGGGGATAGCAGTTCTTTTCAGTTAGGATGGGGAGGGTAGCGTTGGAAGTTTCTATGTGTTTTCTGACAGAAACCTAAGGGTTCAGGACAAACTTAAAGGTTACCATCTTTACATTGACTTAACATTTTGCTGACGGTTGTAGATTGCGACTTAGCCAGGTGGACTGATATTAGTTAAAACCTTTGAAAGATCATTCACCATTTCTGTTAGGTTCTCATTGGTAAGATATGAGTCACAGACTGAGTGCGCAGATTAACAGTGTCCGTAAAGCAGGATTGATGATATATGGAACTTTATGACTCAGGACAAAGGAAAATTTCCGTATTAACCGGTGTCCGTATTAAGCGGGTTATTTTAGAGAAAATAGATAAGCTTTAGGTTCGGAGGACAAAGGAGGCTGTTCATGTACATGGGTGTCCGTAAAGCGGGGTTCCACTGTACATCCTAAGTTTTTTTCTTCTATCCTTACATTAGGCAGAATTTTTACATAAATGACATGTACAGTCAAATCTCAATTGTAATGTACCTATTGTAAATTAAATTATTACTGCAGAATCGCGTGTTTCTTTTCCTTATTTATGCCAAGTACACAAAAACGCATAAAGATACATCGTTTCATTTATTGTAATAAATTCACTAAGGACTTTTTTGACATTATTGAGAAATCTTATGTCACGAATAGACAAACAACAACAACAAGTTTATTTCAAATTAAATATAGCTTACAAAGCTTGTGCCCGCAATGAACGAAGGCTATTCGAGGCTGCGCGAATCTATCTCGTTCGCGTTACAAGTATCAATCTATAATTATTCCAGTCGCACTAGAATCACATACTCTAGTTGGTTTTCTTTCTGACACTTTTCAAACGTGTTTTTTCAGAACCGTGAAACTGGTGGAGTGGGTGAAGAGTGTGAACTGGAGGATACAGCAGCAGAACTCTTTGCTGAAGCTCAGGCACGCGCACGAGAACAAGCTGCTTATGAACAACTCAAAGCTAGTGGTAAGTGTTAGAGAAAAAAAATGTAATGCACACAGGATTTGTAGAAAAACTAGAAAGCTTTAGAATTTAAGAATTTTATTTTCTAGGCCTGGAAAGTCATGGAATTAAGTTGTTGGTTCTGGAAATTATGGAAAATTTAAGTTATGTTTAGTAAGGACAGTGTGATAAAGAGATGAGAAATTGAACAGCGCGAACGGCACGCGTTTTGGTGGACACCAGAGTTTGTGTCTGTTGAACTGAGTTAGGTAAACAAGAAAATTTTAAAACAAGAATAGTATGAAAATTTTTGCAAGTGACAGCTAAAAAGTAGCTAAACCTGGGGTCATGGAAAACTGGAAACGGTCATGGAAAAAGTAATTGAAAGTCCTGGAATTTGAAGAGCTCGTAAGAGTATGATCCCTGAAAGGTTTTGAAGTGCAGTAGACCCCCGATAACTCAAACTCGGATAACTTCAACTCCCCGCTAACTCGAACTAAGTCCAAGTTCCCTTGGATTTCACCACACTTTCCAGTCATTTTTGCTCGGTTAACTCGAACACGGATAACTCGAATTCCCTGCTTACCTGAACTAAATTTCCTTTCCCTTGATAAAAGTTTCACTGAAATTTACCCAGATAACTCGAATTCTGCTTCTTGTAACTCCACTTTGATGCCATCCCATTTGCTCTTCTTGCTTCTTGCTATGATCGGCAAAAACACTAAGGCTATAACTACGTCAATTTGATTTTAATTGGTGCAACGAACAGATCACGTTTTATAAAAGAAAGGCAAAATCATGTTACCATTTCAGATGAAATTAGTTAAATTTGCCCTGCATTATAAACTGAAGGGCTGAAAAATCAGCAACGATCAATTGTTAACATGGCAAATTGAACATTCAAACGATCCCGATAACTGTTTTTAGTTTCCCTTCAGAATTCGAGTTCCCGGGGTTCCACTGTAATTATTAATTTTCTCCTTTTCATGGTTTTAAAAAGTTTAACATTTTTTTATTATTATTTTAGGTAAGGTACAGTTTGAAGTGCGAGCCGAAGGAGGTGAAGATGAAGGGGGTATGGGCACGGCATCTATCAAAGTGAATGGTGTAGAACATTGCCCCAGAAAAGTTGGGCACAATGTTGTAGTTCTTGATCCCAGTGGTGATGTCTGTGCTGTTAAAAATTTCAACACAAATGCTGGAGAAGGTCCTGCATTGGGACAGTTCCTTGATCAGCTGCCTGAGGATCATGTTGTTCTTGTAGCCACTCAAGGAGTAAATGGCAAAGAGCAAGGTGAGATAGTCTTACACTGTACCATGATGTAAGAAATTATGAAATAGCCTAGTGTCTAAGACAAGCAAGTGTCAGCACTGGACTATCATATTGATACATAAATTCGAGATTTTTGCGGGAAATTAACATTCGCGGGGTTGTATTTTCGCGATTTCAATGGGAAAATACGAAAAAGGGCTATATTAAATTTTCGCAATTCAAGTGTTGTTAACTTTATTTATTTTTCAAAACGTCTAAAAAGCTGTTGACCGGCGTAACCTTGGAGTTCATTTTTATTTGTTAAAAAAAAAGAACAGCAGTGTAAGGCCTCATTAGAAACAACATTTTTATTTTTTATATTATTTTTACTGAACCCTTGCAAGTGCTCCCAATGTTTATGTGTCTATTAACCCCCCCCCCCCCCCCTCTCCCATAAAAAAGACTCTTTCGTGCTTATGATGTCCATTGTTTTTAGGTAACAATGTCGCTGCAGCAGCTCCAGCGTTGGAGCGTTTAGGAGCTGAGGGACCGTTTGATCCAGGTTACCATGGCTCATTCGCCTTCTCAGGCTGTACTGGTCCGACTCCAAGATTTTACACTAAAGCAGAGATACGGCCTCGATACTACGGACCAGCGATTGTTGCACAGCTCATCCCAACACCTGCCGCGCAGAAAGGTTTGTTTTTAGAAGAACAATCGAATCGGTGTAGTATTTCAGCTGCCAGGGTTTGTACACAGTCTTGAATAATTTCTTGAACAAATCTTGAAATTGTTTTACCCAGCAATTTTCTGGCCTTCGTCGCAGACATAATTTAACGTACCACAAATGCTTTTTAAGTGAATTTTTTTCATTTTGGTCAAATCTTATTCAATTCCGCCCGTACGTTTGCAGTGCATCATGAAAAAGCTTTGTTCCTGCGTTTTTAAGGTCTCTATTGATCACCCTTTTGATAACCGTGAGAAAAAGAACTTATTGTTTTGGAAAGAGTCTGGAAAAAGTCTGGAATTTTAGATCCGAAAATCTGTACCAACCCTGAGCTGCGTTTTGGAAATTATTCGAAAGTTCAGCGATTAGGCTGAAGATTACACGTGTTTCTTTCATTCACTGTTCAACGTTGTAACGAGTTCAAAACTGATTATTCTTCTCTCAGTGAATTTTTTAAATGGAGGATGAATACCTGAAGAAGGGAAAAAAAAAACGGAGAAAGGAAACTGAATGCCTCATGACCGAGTTTGAGTCACTCAGTTAGGAGGGAGTTCAGAAATGCAAGACGCTAGCCCTGTAATAATGAAGCTATCTTAAAAGTTATGAAGGATGTTCAGTGTCAACTTAAATCACAATCCTCACGAACTGCGGTAGTTTCGGAAAAGTGTGACGAAATCTCCACGGCGATTGATATTCAGATGGTACTGTATATAGGTAGAAACATATAAATTATTAATTGAAGCTGTTTATTGCTGTGGCTGCCATGATGAAACCCTTATAACCCGCCCAAAGTTTTTCTAGCCAAGAAGATACCTGCACCTGTTACGCTCATGCAAATCCAGTCCTTAGCATGCGAACTCTTCTTGACTTGATAGTAGAAGAATGGAATGATCTTCACTTAGCTCGAGCAAGAGCTTTCTTGTCAAATCCCAAATACTCTATACCACTTGGAAAACTAAACGTTGAATTTTGTGGTGACCGGTCGCTCCGCTAACGCCCCGTTCGCTAACTTCTTAAGTAATTTCGCTTACGAAACGAAACGAGCGGTACTCATGTGTATACTTCGTTCTTTCAGCCTTGCCACCAAAATGTCTGATAAACGTGTGTACACCTCGTTCTTTAACCCATTGATCAAGCAGTAGCGAAATGACTTAAGACGCTGGCGAAAAGTCGGCGAAAGTTGCATGGAAAGTGCCGGTGAATATTGACAAAAATGATATACACTAAAGCTTCTTGTTGCTTATACACCGTACCTATTCTTGACAGGTTTAGTGAAAGTTAATATAGTTGCTGAAGGAGAGGATGATCCAAAAGCAACAGGCCGAACATCAATCAAAGTGAACGGCATTGAGAGATCTCCAATGATGCGAGGACACAACATAGTCGTCCTGGACAGCGACAGAAATTTCATTATGGCTGCTAACTTTGACACAGCAGATTCAACCAAGGGGGAGGGTGTGAAAATGGCCAAGTTCTTACAACAGCTTCCCCAGGAGAGGATAGTGCTGATTGGTACTCAGGGGACTACTGGTGGGTACAGGTTTAGGCACAGGGAGCCCACACAAGCTGCTTGTGTAGCTTTTTTTTTTCCGGGAACTCTGTGTTTTACCGCGTAATTGTTTAAGATTGGCAAAATACGTACTAATTGCCAATCGGCCTAAGACATAGAAACTGAGCGTTCTTAGGGATTTTATTTTTAGACTTTAACTGATTTAATAGGATGAGACCCTTCTTAGACACCTTGTGCCCTGGCTTTTACTGTTGTTGTTATTGTTGTTGTTGTCAATAATTTATCTTGCGAGCAAGCTCTCCATTTGGGGGCGTCGCGAGAAGTCTTGCTTGAGAGGCACGCGAAGGGAGACGAGAGCGCGAAGGCGGGGAAAGAGCGCTCGCGGGTTCTCTCGTGACTCGCGAGTTTGCTCGCAAGCTGTCAATAAATGTATACAAGTATATTCTGCCTTGTGTCGCTGAGATAGTGCTATTACAAATCACGACAAGCTGACACTAAACGTCTCCTTTATCAGGCACATCAGTGAACAATGCCAAAGAGGCCCTTTATGACTTAGGCGCTTCAGGAAACGTCCACCCGGGCTTCCATGGATCTTGGGCCTTTGTAGGTTACACAGGTCCTGAGCAAGTTAAATGGGCCAAGACAATCAGCCAACCACGATACAAGGGACCTGCTGTTATCGAGGAGATGATAACTAGTCCATCAGCTGAGGCAGAAATTAGTGAGTTATTAACCAGTCTAATTTTGATGACAGTGTGTTGTTTAAAGGGCTACATAAGCTAGAATGACTTCGTGACCATTACGACTTAGATAGGTCCCGTAATCAGCCTTTAAACTCGGAGCCCGAAGTATGGGGCATATTTTAATTTACCAGTAAGCTATTGCCCACTCTGTACCTTCGGACCGCCGAAATTTTCATAATACAATTTATGAAAACTAGTTTTCCGATCCTACACTGTTTATTTACGCTCTTTTGTCCCCTTCCCGTTGTGTTAGTGGTGAAACTTTTCAAGTGCATTTTGTTACCGAATTAATAGTGAGGTAACCATCGGGAAAGTGAGAGATCGATGAACTTTAATTAATTATTTCAGCGTTTAAGATTGGCTATTGAATTTTTAAAGCTTCAACGCCAACACGTTTCCTTTTAAAATTAGAAACAATTATTTGTCAGAAACATGTCTAGCATGTCTCTCCCCGACACTCTCATGTCGGAGAGTTTCTCGAGCCTTTGCTTTTTTCCGTGGTTTTAGGTGCAATGACTGCGACAGAATCCGAATATGAACCGGTATCAGATTATGAATGGGAGGGAGCTCAGTCAGATTACGAAGCTCGGTCAGAGTTTGATGACACTGATGACTGGGACAAAGACAAGAGCATGTCCAAGAGAAGTGCACGGGTATAGTTTAACTTATTACATGTATTATGGTGGTAAATTGTCAGTAGAGTGTATACTACATCCTGCGAGCGGAGCAAGCCGCGAGAGACTTGTCTGCTCTCGCGTAACTTCTCGAGAGAGCTTGCTCGCAGGCCGCATGCTTCATGTTTCGTAGTTGTCATGACTAAACACTTTGCTAGTGTAATTGTGAAAGCAGTTAAATGTAAATGACGAACAACTTAAATTTAAAAAATCCGCTCTATATTAATTGTTAAAAAAGTCATCTTTTTAACTACCGAAATGACGATGAGTTTAGTCACTCTGCTGCGCCAAAATCGCCCGTTTTCTCTATTATTACGCCGCTTTCTTGGCGCATTCATGCCTGATTAGCCCGGCAGGGATGTCACTAAGATTTCAAGTTGCCGGGTAAATACAACAAGTAGGTGAGGAATCAATCAGCTAGGGATTTCTTTTGGTTCTATATTTCTTCTATTTACCTATGAAAGTAACCGGGGGCCACGTTCATAATAGGCGGGGTAATCCCCGACCCCGGCTCTTAATGACAGCCCTGCAGCCCGCCTCAGTGGCTCATTGATATGCGTACATGTCCGACCATTTCTTCCGATGGTGTATTTCATTAGATTCAAAAAGCGCCAATAAGAATCTTTTTTACTAAGATGTCGGGCAAAAGGAACTTTCATGTGTTGCCCAGTTTTGAAAGGCGAATGAATTTGAATCAGCATTTCCATGACTGTGTTTGATCATGTAGCAGGCTACACGAGCGGGTAAGGTAAAGCAAATTCTGCCCGCGCAAGATTGACCTAGCTTGGGATTTTTCGCTTCGTTCCGAAAGAATGTTTTCTCTTTTGTAGCTGTGCTATATGACAAGAACAATTTATGCGTGTAAAACCAAAACCGCAATGGCTGTTAGAAAGCGCGGGAAAATGCTTGCATGTCTGATTGGTTGAGAAAGTGCCACGATTTATTTTTTTCAGCCAATTGCTACCCAGTACCAGATTAACTACCAAATTAGGAACTCATTTGAAAGGTACTCATAATTTCAAACTGTTCTATATTTTCTTCAGTCACTCATGAGAGCTCTACCAGCAGAAGAAAAAGCCAAGATTGAGCAGCTGACAGAAGGACTGAAGTTAGAGAAGAGAAAGCTGGAAAGAGAATTGACCAAATGGGACCAGAGCGGAAACGATATCATCATCCTTGCAAAGAAGATGTGTATGATGATGATGGAAATGTCGGATTTCACTCGGTGGGTCTTTATTTATCGTACGGAATCAAATATCGGAAAGACCGGTGAACATTCCTTGCGTAGAAAGTTGCCAATACTGGTAGTTGGGCATAGGCGCGAGGAAAATTTCTAGCGTAGTTGCCGTAAGGGCAACACGATAAATCCGATTTAATAAACCTGCAAACGTTCAGTTTAGTTCCCTTGGCACATCACCTTTAAAGCCCAAGGGAACGGTTACCTCCGAATTAAAAAGCAGCTGTTTAAAACAATCGCCACAGATGTTAATACTGCATATAACTTTGAATGAGGAATTATCAAAACAATTAAGTGAAAAGTTATTTCTTTCAACGACTACCCTTTAACTTTCCTCTTTCATGTGCAAAGACAAAGGTCGTGGGATTGGACTTGCATGATCCTTACATCCTTTTAGTGATAGATTAGAGAGAACGTACGGTATTTGGGACTTTGAGCTGGGACGGTGTTGTGTCGAAATGCACTATGGCACTTTTTTCAGGGACGCCATAACTTCTGGTGTTGGCTATCACGAGATTGCGCTAGAAACTGGGGGCGCTCTTTTCAACCGAAACGTCCGGTTTGAATTTTCGGCAACTTCCAGGAGCGAATGGAACGGCATTCTCCAAAATTTCCAAAAACAGGGCAACCTCGCGAGGTATACCCAAATTGTCGAATTTTTTTCCCGGAAGTTTTCTTTCCAGTCAACTTTGCTCCCGGAAAATCTAGAATTTTCGGTTGAATGGTTCCCAATTCGGAAATTCAGCAGTTTCCGGGAAATTTCTGTACGATTTGCCGCCGTTTCCAAATTTTGGAAAGTTTTGGTTGAATGGAAAGCGCCCTGGGTCTAAATTCGACACGACACTGTCCCAGTCTCTCGCGTGACCTCAAATTGCCATTCTCAACTGAATTTGCGAATTCATTCTTAGGGGAACTGGGCCTTTGAAAACAACAATGGATGTGATTGACGCTGCCAAGGTAATACGCTTATCCATGTTACGTTTAGTGTCGATCAAAGGTGTGTCAAATTCATCAACTAGGAGCTGGCCGCCAAATTGAGCAAAACACCTGTTTACGGCTAAAAAAGTTGATGAAAGGCTTGAATGACACTGCAAATATAAAGAAAGCACGGATGGGCAAAATTAAAGAAGATTTGAACGGATTCAAATAGGGTTTTAGAGACTGTTTAGCCTAACATTGTTAGAAGTGTATCTCTTTTTTTTAGGAGCCGATTGTTTAGTTTTATCTGTCAAGTAGCAGATTTTTAATTTACTAGTAATTTCTTCGCAAAACTTAAGTCCTTAAGGATTGGTAAATGGCAAAACTAAACCAAAGGACTGGACTGTGACCAGTAACTTGATGGGTGAACAACCTGAGTCTTTAGAAAGTAAACAGTTTTTTTTGGTAGCTGCTGTATTAAAAAGCTTTGGTAGAAGTTTCCATTATTTATCTCTTATATAGCTGTCATTTTGTTATTTTAGAGGATTGCTAAGGCTGGAGCCAGGATGAACCAAAAGGCGTCAGAAATTGCATCAAGGGTAAGCTCTGAGCAATTTTATTTGCTTTAACATAACCTGGAGTTGATAGTGCCAAACAAGGAATTAATAGGTTTACGAAGAAATGTCGACTCGTGCTATTCTTTATGTATTCTCTCTGAAATACTTTTATTATCTCTGCTTTTCAACAGTGTCCTGATTCAAGCTCCAAGAATGACCTGTTAGCGTACATACAGCGCATTGCACTCTACTCTCATCAGCTGACTATCACAGCGCGAGTTAAAGCTGATGTGCAGATGATTAGTGGTGAACTTGTCGTGTCTGGGGTAAGTGGTTCTTAAGTTTATTTCAATGACTAGCCCCGCGTTTCTTCCTCGCAGGAATAATTTGCAAAATGACTATGTACTAGCCGCCTGCAGCATGCTGCATGCACAGTACGCGAGGATCATTCGTTAAGGATTTTTCCATCGAAAAGTACTTTTAGGGCTGCATTGTGTTAGGAGTGGTTTTGGGGCGGTTTATGTTAACTTTGAAGCTTAAATGCTATGCACTAAGTTTAATGAAACCATTCTTTGACTCTCACGTTATCGTAATGATATATACTTTTCTTGCAGTTGGATAGTGCCACATCTCTGATCACAGCTGCCAAAAATCTTATGAATGCTGTTATCTTAACTGTCAAAGCATCCTATGTAGCTAACACAAAGGTACAGCAAACTGTTCATTTCAGTCTATCTCTATCTCTGTCTCTGCCTCCTTATTTTCTCGGAAAATTTTCTGTGTTATTTTTAAGGGAATCCAATCATCAACATCTTGCCAGAAAGAATTAAACTGAATTTACTTTTTAACCTTTCATATCTCAATTCAAATTTCGCACTAACCCTGGGTTATCTTAACGCAGCTTTGAACAACCCGGCCCAGGTTGTTATTATGGTGGAAAATATATGGTCTTCCCGTTGTGTTATAATATGCTTGTAACCAATTGTATTAAGCCTTGGTCTGACTTTATTTTGTTTATTTTCATCTTTCTGCAGCACAAGTCTGGAGAAGCTAGGGTAAGCTGTTACTGTAGGGTAAATTATTACTGTGTACATGTATATAAACCTTGACACCCAAGATTATTCACACCTCTGTTTTCTCGTATTAAGATTAACGCCCAAACTGGGAATATTTTTGTAGTCTCGTTCGCCAACTTTCCACTCCTATCCGCTCACGCTTCGCTCTAGTTTTCGCTCACTCTTTTTCGCGGTCCTTCAAGCTTTCGACTGTTCTGTAGCCTGCGCCAAAGACGAAACTAAACCGACTTAGGAGTGGACCGTATTTACTTCCTCGGTAGCCTGCGGAGCTGGCGGGATTGTCATTTCCGTGGTGCTCTTCTCGCGGCTCCACCATCATCAAAAAACTTAACTACAGCACTCACCCGCTACTCCCTCCATATCATAGTTAGTAGAATGCAATGGTTATGAAACCTGACGGTGCACAGCGTTCTATAGCATTCCTAACATTTTGATCTTATTGACCAACAAAAAACGTCCAATTAATTTATTCCTTTACAATAGACCTCTTTAGCTTGTATGTTTTGTTTTCCTAATACAGGTCGTGTGACCACACTCAAGGGAACTGTTTATTTCAGATTTTGTCTTATTCACATGCATATCTACGCATAATTTATGAAAAGACAAAGGGTCAAGCTCCCCTGGGACCTCTACTGGGAAAACAAAACATAAAAAGCTAAAGAGGTCTATTTGTCAACAGAAAACAAAGGAGCTTCCAACATAAACTGCAGCACTGTTGTTTTTGTATTTGATGTTTGCCGCCCTTCATAACCAGTCTCCTCTTATAACAGGCTACTCTCCGGGTAATGAAGTCGAGGTTGATACAGAGCAATAATGATCCTCGACTGGATGCTAAATATGTCAATTGTATGCGATTCTTGAAGCGATGCTTTTCTCTTTTTTCATTGTAGACGTCTAGTATCACGTGGCGCATGCGTGCGCCGGAAAAGAAACCGCTGGTTAATCTGGAGAAAGACGACCGCGTTCCACAACTACAGAGGGCGGAGAAAGTCAGGCAAGAGTCACCCATACAAGCGCTTTCTGAATTTGACACTTCAGAGCAGAAACGACAGCCCGACTTCTACTAGTATGCTGTTCTTTTTTTCGGTCCGAAGTTGGCGTCAGCTGAGAAACGTCAAAACGCACAACCCACAACTTTGTAACGCACAACTTTGAAAGTATGGAGTTGATCTTCAAGTTGTCTGATATGATTTTAACTGCGATGGCTGTACATATTTTTTCGATCTCTCCAGCGAGTTTTTAAACTGAACGAAGTAGTTTTGACACTGGTTCTGCAGGCCCTAGAATCTTTGAGAATTTGAGAAGTGCAAAGAAGTTAAGTTATGAGATAGGCTCTCTGTGATTAAAGGAGTTATGTCACAAGGATATTGCTGTTTTAGGTTAATTCTGTTATTAAGTCATTAATTAGTGTCCTTACCCATACACAAAATGCTCCTGTAGAGTTCTGTAGAAGATATCAGAGAACCATTTTAACTTTTTGGGATTTTTTTATAGCCTGCGAGCAAGGTCTCGGAGGCACTCTGGCGACGGGACGGGAAAAGGAAGGACAGCATGCAACCACGTTTCTGGAATTTTGAATATCTGCATCGAAAAAGTCGATGCGAAATGCGGATTGGCGGAGATGACATTGGTAATGACGTTATTATCCTTGGCACGTTTTTTTTTTTTTTTCAATGTTCGTTTACATTCGCGCTCTTTTCCGCTTCACACTGATTGGCGGAAATCTGACAGCTTAGTCGACGGGGAGCCACAGGGGAATTGGAGGTGGAATATCAAATTCCAGAGACGTGTTGCAAGCTCTCCTTTTTTCTTCCGCCCCGTCGCCATAGCGCCCGGATAGCTTGCTCGCTGGCTAGATTTATTACAGTTGTAGCATTTTAAAAATGGTCCTATTTTTTAAAGTTTCAATGGCTCTTGTCTATGCCCATCCTTGCCATCCGCAGCAACAGACGACAAGAAGCTGTTTCAATGCCTAAGGGTGCGTTTCTTTAATAAAATCCAAGATCAGATCAAAAATCCAGATCATTAGGGTTTTCCGTTAGGAAGAGAAACGATGTATCCAAAAAAGGATTATTTTTCATTCATTTCCATAGAAACGACCCACAATATCGACAGTATTTCGGAGAAACAATAACACGGCTGCTGACAGTTGAAAGTTTACTTATCTTCCATTGTAGTTTGGACCAGGAGCTCAAGGATACTGAAGACAGGTTTTTGTTTTTCAATAAGATAGTAAATAGCCTGACATAGCTCCTTTAAACTTCATCACCATCTCATTGTATGAAATGGCTGGGGTGTTCAACGGTTTTACTTGACACTCCCTGACACAGTTGAGAGCAAGCACCAACATTAAGAATCGTGAGTTTTTGTTAGTAAGAAAACAACATGGTCACTTACTGTCGAAAAAATCGTAGAGTTGAAATAGTAGTTAGTAGTATTTTTGTAATTGAGTAGCTGGCTTATAAGAAATCTGCGGTCTCTTATCCAGGATGGTGGAGCTTTTGCAGCGTGAAAACAACCGCAGAAAGTGCCTCAAGGACCGCTAAAGAGATTTGTGCTTCCATATAATATCATCAGTTTTTACAACATCGAAACTGTAATGACAATGGGTGTAAATATAATTTAAAGCACGGCTGGTCTTTGTGGAATAAAGCTTGAACAGTGTCTTTGTCTTGGAGTTTAATTCAGCCACTGGCAATACAGTTAACTTCCGCTTATGAGCCCTGGGAATATCCAACGACGTAAGGGGGTTTAGGAGGGCTTATAAACGCAGGAGGAGCTTAAAACCGGACTGAAAGAAGCGTTTCCAAACAAGCTACATAGCAGTGATGATCAAAATACCTTTTGAAGTTACAAGCTCTTTAAGCTTCAAAACGTAGTAAACGTCGAGTAGACCTTTTTACCGATACGGCGGCCATATTGAATTAATGCGATGTAAGAAGTATTATGGGATGCCCAGGGGGCATGAGCACGATCCGTTGTACTTGTTTAGTATTAGAAATATGGTCTTTCAATGCATATTTCTCGAGAAAAACGCGATCATTATTACATCCAAACACTGCACAACGATCTTAACGATCTTTTTTCCCATTGCAATCTTATTCTAGGAAAACTTTAAGAAAAAGTGCCCCGAAAGGCGCGCGTTAAATCTAAGTGAATATACCGGAATGTGCTAATGCCCCCTGGGAATCCCATAATACTTCTTTTAATGTAACTAATTCAATATGGCCTCCGTATCGGTAAAAAGGTCTATTCATTAGGCCATTTCCGAGTTCCAAAAAATCTCACTTTCAAAGCGAGGCTAAGTGCTAAACCTTTGTTGTGAAAATGAGTTTTAATTTTGATGCAAATAAAAGTCATTTTCACAACAAAAGTTTCGCACTTAGCCTCGTTTTGAAAGTGAGCTTTTCTGTAACTCGGAAATGGCCTTTTCAATAGAAGCTAGAGTGGGGTTTATATCCAGGTGGGTTTATAACCGGATGCATTTTTTTGTTTAGAGGAAGATGGGCCTAAAACTGGGGGGGAATACTTATACGCGGAAGTTTAAAACATATGTTAAAAGAAGTATTAGTGTATACCAAGCCAGTCAATAACGCTTTTCGAGCGCCCTGATTGGCTAGCTTAGAGGTAATTATCCTGTACTTTTCACCTTCAGTACGGTGAATAAATATTAACCATTGTCCTTAACACCCGATAGAAAGCAGGGGTGGGGTGAAGTAGAATGTGCGATCAATAGACTAATATTTCATGATAGATTAACATTCATATTGGACTCCGAGGACTTTGGGAGAACATAATAGAAGAATGTATTATTTGTCCCCCAAATCCAAGGTGATTTCTTTTTTAATATTCTCTCGAGCTTTGGAGCCAAGAATAAATTAAATATATCGGTCGATTTGATCGTGGGTGGACATAAGCCAGTTAGAGTGCAAGCGTTGTTACATTTGCTGCTTGTATACGTCTCCTATTCGATTGAGTTCGATTTTGTTCGATTGACTACGCCGGGATAAAGGAAATAAGAGACGCTGGCACGCAAGCTTAAGCTCAAGCGACGAGTGGAGAAAAGGGGAGAATCACCTGTTCCCTTTGACTTGTCTACCCCATTTCTCGAACAAATTGTAGTTCTTCCCGCTAGTCTCCTTAACAGCCGCTTGGGGAGCTTGCGTGACTCCGGCCCGAGTGGCCGCGAAGGAGACCAGCCTCTCAATAGAGCAGGGAACGAACTTTTCGAAGCAAAAAAACGATGCGAAGACTATGGCTTTGAAGACTATCAGCTCAATACTAGTGTTCAACATTGAGGTCTCCTTTCAACGAGAACGGCTTAGGGATCCATGCATAAGGCTACATAGTCTTCTTTTCAAGCTCTACTTGGGGTGGGAGTAGAGTTATTCGAGTGAGGTCCAATGCTCAAGCGCGCACCCCCCTCCCCCACCCCCATGGCAGGGCCTCTTAAAGGACTGGAAAGGAGATATCGGTAAAGGGCCCTACGTCACGCTATTTAGTATCATTTTAAACCACTACAACTTTAATATATAATAATATAATATATTCACATCAGTTGAATAACAAAAACCCACCTCGTCTAATTTTGTTATTTACGACTATATTTAGGCATTGAAACTTGAAATGTTGGGCCAACCGTTTTAAATTTTAATGGCATGCCTGCAAAAATCTCTCCAAAATTACTATGGTTAGAGCTCCCTGACGATTATTGTTATTAAGGCCTACAAGTGTATCTAGCGCCCATTTCCAGAATTTGAAAAACACATGTGGGTGTGACACAAGGTCTACTCCTTTCCTCTTACCAGAAAAGCACTTAAGCGATCACCGTTGCACAAACTCAAACTTTTTCAACAATACTTCTTACGTTTTTAGTTTTACTTACACATGGGACAAAGGATAGTCCGAATAAACTGAATTTCAGGGTGCCTACACCAAGAGATGGAAACACAGCAAGTGTCAGCGGGTAATGTTTTTTTTGGAATTTTTTTTATTAGTATTATTATTTCCATAAGACACTGTTATCAAGGAAACATCCTCCCAATAGTACACTATTCCTTTGCAAAGCCAGTAAAGCCAGTCTAAATCAATTTTAAAAAATGTTTTTTACTTATACACACGGGGCTTATACATTTCCTAGAATTACTGTATACTTATTGTTTTAGCTCGACAAAACACCGATCATAGAATGCACCATGTGAACTTCGACTAAGAACAACGTATTGCAGGCCATACGTAACTCTGCATCTATTGTTGCGACTTGTTAAAAGCGTAAATCTAGCATTCCTAGGTATTAAAACTGAGGTATCAGATTTTATCAGCGTTCGCTAATTTTTTTATCATATCCAACAATTTAACATTCTGGTTTGAAGGCTGCATAAAAACTGTTTAAACCTACCATTTTCACACATGTACACATCGTGACAAAAAAAGCCATTCATATTCGCGCGAGAACGCTTCAAGCGACCAAGAATTTGTAATTTATTCTAATTCTGGGTGACTAGTTAAAGTACTTTTCTTCGTACAGTTTCTGATGCTAAATAAAAGGGGGTTCAACGTTTTTTTTTTTTTTACGGATAAAATGATAAAGGAATGGCCATTTTTAATCTTTGGCTCTACCTTGGCCGTCGCGATATAATAACTATTACTCAGGTGCTCAGAAGGTCACACTAGTGACAACCGTCCAAAACTATTCTGTTGTTTGCGGTCCATTTAGGAGCGTGGCACTGAAAGAATTGACTTCTCTTAATACATTTATAACAGTAACGAGTTAATTAATGTGCTTCGCCACTGACTGATCACATTATTAAAGGCTCAGATTGGCCGAATGACAGATTATACCAAAAGTCAGTAAAAACGAAGAGCTTACAAAAAACATGCAAATAATTTAGATAAAAAGGGGTCATTTTTTTGTGCTCTTCTCTGAGGGCATCACCGTTTTCTCCTGGTAACGCGTTAGGTTGTTTTGATATCAAACTTCAGTCTTCGCTACTTAGTAGAATCGCTTTTTTGAATCTTCCTGGCGTTTTTGGTAGACATAAAGAGAAATTCCAACGACACAGACAGCTACAAGAGCGAACCAAAACAGCCAGGTAAAAATCTTTACAGTTCTTGAAGAGAAGCTTCCCTGCACGTCCTCGACACGATCTGAAGACAACAAGTAAAAAAGTTAGTGAATTAAAGGAGATCAGTTACGAAATTTGTCAAAAATCAAACAGTGCGAGCTGTCACCGAACTCGGTCAAACATACACATAACTGCTTCAAACATTCAAAGACGAGGTAAAAAATACGGCAAATACAATAAGTCACGAATGGAAAAATTGAAGAAGATGGAAACAGATTGCAGTCGTGGTTTTTTAAAACTTATTAGCCTGACAGTTTTTCCGCAAAGTTCATTTTTGTTGTTTGTATCGTTTGATTTCATGCTTGGGAGACATATTCCAGTGACACGAACCTGTAATGTTTTTGCCATTGACGAGTATTTTTGCAAGTTCCATAGCGAATAAGGATGCGTAATTGGCATCATAAACATAATGAACTAGACAGCCGTGCCGGCACAGCCCCTTCAGTACTATGCTAAGTCCTTTTCTTTTGTATCAATCGCTGATTGAATTTGTGTTTTTTTTTCCTCCCATTCCCGAGACAATGGTTGTTAGTTTGGTTTGAGTTCGTCAATAACTTGTTCCAATACGGTGTCATTTACTACTGATTTCGACTCAGCAGCGTTTGTTACGTTCCAAACAAGACCCCCATACAGTGGCGGTTCTTTGTGCTGCCGACTGTGGTTTATAATTCAAGTCGTAGTTGTGTAGGCAACACAAAGCAATTTATAGAAGCGCGATGCAGATGCAGGTCACAAAGCATATTTTTCATAGTCCTCTTTGCCGTCCCAGGTCCCCATAGGGATTCCCGTCCACGTATTGGCTGTACTCCTTTCGAACTAATTTCGGTATATGGAATAAATACATTAAATGAGAGATAGACCGTAAAAAAAGTTAAGGGGGAATTTCTGCTTTGCATGTACTTTTTTTATTCACCACGTATGCACGATTTGGTTTCTTAGCTGGTATTTACTTTTTTCAGCCTCTCCCGGATGTATCAGGATTCGTACTCGTTTGAGCTCTTCAAATTCCATGACTTTTTCCATGACGTTTTCAAGTTTCCCATGACCTTTTGGCTTAGATTTAGCTGTCACTTTCGAAAATTTTAAAAACTTTCCTTGTTTTAGGGTATTTTTTTACCTTAAACAGTTCAACAGACACAAACTCTGGTGTCCACCAAAATGCGGGCCGTTAGCGCTGTTTAATCACTCCTCTCTACATTATTGCATCTTACATTGTCCA